TTCTGTATAGACTGTAAAGTCATTAATAGGAGGCATGATGTGCTTTAAGATGCTTACTGGCTTTAGCTTCAGTAAAAGGAACCCAGGGAGAGAACACATATCTTGATTATATGTCAGAACATGCTGAGCCTCTTCCATTGTTTTCCATTGAGAACATTGGAAAGTTCTTGCAGAATGAAGATACTCCTTGAAGAGAGGAGCTATTGCATAGGTCCAGTCTAAGTCTCTAATATCACCGAATGTATCACTTTCCTCTTCTGTCACCACCCTCCACCCCCACCCAAGTTACCATACTTGCAAGATGGAGACCTATCCTGTGAAGCTTTAAGGACTTCAGAGTATTCTCTGAGCAGCTTGCAATGCTTGGTGCTGGTAGGAGGGCTTAGATTGTTAGGTGCTTTTAGTGCTTTAAGTGTGAGTGAGCATCTCCGTTATCTCTTGTTCTGTTCATTCATCCACTTTATTCATCCGATTCCTTCACTCATTCAATTCATTCATTCCTCATGCAGCCAGTAAATATATCCTGAGTGTCTATTATACACCAGACACATGGCTTGTGACAAGGAGAGAAATTAAGACAGATGCTTTCTCATTCTGATGATCTTGGTAATAACGTTGGCTTGGAAAGGCTGTCCTTGAGAATCTTACAGAGTAGTTGTATTTTCACACATTCATATGCAGAGTTGTAGATGACCAAGGATATCAGTAATTACAAACTGAGGGCTAAATCTGAGATCATTCCAAAGAGAGAAGGGAGGGAGGAGACTGAAGCTGAAGCCTGTTGTGCTCTAAGCACCCAGCCAGTTCCTTTATGTCTCTCTGCATTCAAACCTCACAACACTCTTGCGAGGCTTGTAGTGATTACTTCCATTTTGCAGAAGTAAGTGAGGCTCAACAGGTTGGTAATAAACATTAGAAAACAAGTTCTCTGTCTGAGAATTGGGATTCTCTTTAGTGGTCTCCTTAGTTTATTTCCTGAGGCGGAATATTCCGAGAAGGTGAAATAAAGCCATATTTAGGATACTAGAGAAAATAGGTGTTAAGAATGATCTCAGTGTTAATATTGAGAAAATGTCTTGTTCCCTCAGAAAAATGTGAAGTCCAGTTTTGGATTCCTCTCATCATTTGAGTTCCTTAGTATTTATTTATTCTTATAAGAAACAGCTACTACAACTAATGACACATTTAATTAACACAAAAAATGTTATGATTTCTTTCTGTAATTTTTGCTTGTTGAATGTTAATCATATTTAAGAGGATGACTATGAAAATAAGCCTCTTTTCCTGCTACTGAAAAAGACTGAACTGTATTGGGTGGTCAAGGGTTGAAGGGCAGGGAACACACCCAGAACCAATGTGGAGTCTAAAAATCATCTGTTTTCAACTTAAAATGACACCATCTGAAAAGAAGAGATATTTTACACTGGATCTTTCTCATGTAGAATGAGAAATCTTTCGGAATAGAAGATGTTTACATGTCCGCTGCTGGTCATCTCTCCTGTGTCTTAAATAGTTTAATATGGGAAAAGTGTAGTGTGTGGACCAGTGGGTGCCTGCTAGCCCATGGGGATGCTCTGTAACTACTGAATCCGACTTTATTTTCAAAGATGTTCCATGTTGTTTTTTTGGAAATAAATTAATATATTGTTTTCCACCTTTGGGACTATTGTGTGTTTTTATTTGATGGTTGGCTAATATCCACTACAGAGCATGTTTAACAAGGTAATTCTCCTAGAATTTTTAAAAAATACAAATAAATAGTTTAATATATACACATATACCTGTCTAATGTCCATCTACTACAAAATAATTAAAATTTCCCTTTATGGGGTTTTGGGGAGAGTAATTGAGAATGATAGAGAATATAATTGGAAGAGTAGTTACATGTAAATTGGATACAACTATTTTATAATTTGAGGCAGAAATAAGTTTTCTATATTTGCCTGCTTTATTCACTAAAAAAAAATCAAGACCTAGGAAAAAGACTCATATTAATATTATCATCTTTGTTGGATTATCAAATACCGAAGTTAATTGAGCAGCCTTTTAGTGCTTAGTTTTGCTAAACAAATACTGCCTCCCATTGACACAGAATGATAGAAACACCAAGGAAAATAACTAATTTAAAGGGTACTTAAGTACCATTTTTTAAAATGAAAAATATTTTAAAACAAATGTGAAAACATTTCAAACTACAAGAATAATGAAAATATATGCTCATAAAAATAGAATACAGAATGAAAAGGGAATTAATACAGAAGGATAAAGAATAAAAAGTAAACTTTCTCCAGAAGTAGTTTTGGTATACATACTTAAGTGCCTTTTCAATGTGTGAAAACATTTATGTATATGTCTGATAGCAGTGCTGTCCAATAGAATTTCTACAATGATGCAAATGGTTTATATTGTCACTGTCCAAAATGGTAACCATTCACATTAGTTATTGAGCACTTGAAATGTGGCTAGTATGACAGAAGACATGTTACTTATTTTTTTATTTAGCCTTAATTTAAATTTAAATAGCCATAAATGACTAGTGGCTATGCAATAGTACAGTTGTATTATATACCAGTTATGTGTATGTGCTTGTGTATACAGTGGAAATACAGAGACACATACTGGATTTTTTATTAATGAGTTGATTATCTAGGTATAAAACAGAAATTACATCTTTTTGTAACTTGTTTAGAGCACTTTTAAAATAAATTTTAACTTTAGTTTTATAGAAAAATTGCATATACTACCAAGAAAATCCCGTGTACCGCACACTCGATTTCCTGTTATGAACACACTACCTTGGTATGGTACATTTGTCACAGTTAATGAGCCAATATTGTATCAATATCATTATTATCCTAATAGTCATAACTTACTTAGATTTTCTTAATTTTTACCTAACGTTATTTTGTCCAGGATCCCATCCAGAGTAACACATTAGTTATGACTGTTTCTCAGACTTTTTCTTGTTTTTGATGCCATTAATAATTTTGAGGGGAAGTCCAGCTGTTTTGTAAAGCACCCCCCAGTTAGTTTAGTCAGACGTTTTTCTCATGATTAGAAAACAGATTTTCGGGTTTGGAGGAGGAAGACTACAGAGGTGAAGTGAATTGCCATTTCCATCAGCACATCAGGGGTGCAAGTTTACCAACATGACCTGTTGCAGCCAATGCTGATTTGGTCTCCTTGCTTCGGCAGTGCTGATTGGGTCTCCACTGCAACGTTACTCTTCTCCCATCCCTGCAGCACTCATTGGAAGGAAGTCCCTGTTCACAGCCCATACACAAGGAGTGAGCCATTATGCCTGGTCACTCTTACTACATAAATTATTTGGAAATCTTCTATGCAGAAGATTTGTCTCTTCCATCTATTATTCAATCATTTATATCAATATTGACTATTGGATATTTTTCTTTACTTTGGGTTATAACCCAGTACTAATTTTTGTCTCAAATTGTAGCTTTTTCAGTTGGCTTCTGAGTCCCTTCCATACACCCACATCTCTGTGAAGCTTCTTGAATGCTATTCTTACTTTCTGACATTATCAGCAGCTCCACTTGAACATCTCTTGCTTCCTTATTCTGTTTTGAGGATAAATGACAAGTACAGTAGTCATGGCCTGAAAAGTACATAGTGACCAGAGGCTCAGACCCTCAGATAAGGCTCTGAGTCACCTCACCAGGTAAGCCACCCAGACTCACAGAGGCACTGGTGAAGGGTAAGGGGAATCTGAAATGCGGAAAGTAAGGAGACACTGGACTTCTATTACGGCTTCAGGACCAGCTGCAGTGGTAGAAGCTGTAGGTCATTCCATCACTCTTTCCTGGGCAAGTTTTCTGCAAGAAAAGGCACTCACCAGATCTTGGAGGAGCTGCTCCCTAAGCTCTTGGGAAGAAATTGAGCCAAGATGCTCAAGTGTGTGTGCTGCACAAATGGGACCTCCCCAGCACTGGAGCTGTTAGCCTGCTGTCCACTTCCCTGGAAATCACCCTCAGCCTATGAGAGTAGCTTCACCCAAGGTCCCATGTCATCTGTAGTCAGCCTGCACCCAGTGTGATGGATGATGTGAGATTATAAAGGACTAATGTCCTCACCTAACTTGGACCCATTGCAGTTTATGAGCTCTCTGCAGGGTGGACCAAGGCCTTCTTGTGACTTCATCGCAGCCCAACTTCTCTACGCAATCCTGATTTCCTCTCTTCCCCATGAGGATCGAATCAGAAGTGCTCTCTTGCATACTAATCTCCATTTCAGAGCCTGATTTCTGGAGAACTTATCTGTAAGAGTGTCCCCACCCAAAGATGATCCTAAAAATTCACCTATACTTTTTTCTTTCATTTCCATAGTTTTTCCCCCTCTGTGTTTAACTCTTCAGCATACATACCATTGGTAACTTATTTTGTCATATGATTTCAGGTAGGGACTTGAATTTTTTTCTGTTAAGGAAGGTCAATTATCCCAATACCATCTTTTCCCCATTGATTTGAAATGCCAGTATGATCATGTAGTAAATTCTCATGTATTTATGGACTATTTTCCCATATTATGGACTTTTTCTGGACTCTATTCCATTCTATGATCATTGGTCTATTCATATGACAAAATCATATTTTAAAAATTACTGTAGATCTGTGATATGTAGCAAGACAAAGAGTTGTTCTTTTCAACATTTTCTTGGCTGTTTTTGATCATTTACTTTTAGAACAGCTTATCAAATTCCTTGAAAAATTCTGTTGGGATTTTGATGGAATTGGCACAGAATTCACATGAATTAATTTTGGAGTAATCATACCTTGACAACATCAAACTGTCAGTCAATATGTCTATTTATCCAGGTCCTCTTCATGTCCTTCACAAATCTAGTTTTTATTATGTAAGTCTTGTACATGCCATGTACTTTATCAGAGTTCTTTGTACTTACTGGAAATGCAATTTTTAAAGTATATTTTTATTTTTCTATTGATAGCATAAGGAAAACAATTGATTTTGATCTGGCATGTAGATTTTATTGAAATTTTTTCATTATTTTGAATAGTTTCTTAATGTGTTACACCTTATATTTTCTGATATTTATCTATAAATAATAGTTTTGCCTTTTTCTTCTCAATATTCAGTCATCCTATTTCTTTTTCTTGTCTTCTTACATTAGCAGAAATTTGCAAAACTTTAGCAGTCATAGCAGCTCTCCTTGAGTTGTTCTCAACATTACAGGGCATGTTTACATTTTGTGCATGATCTTGGAAGTTTGATACAGGTTTCTGGTAGATACCCTTCATGGAGTTGAGAATCAGAATACCAGAAAGTAAATATAAATACAAATATACTGGTTCTAATTATTTAAAAACCTTTGTTTCTTGACAGAAAGATGGGTGACTTCATAAACATAAACATTTTGCTTTACACATATTACTTCAAAAGGTGAGAGGAAAAGGTCACTACTCCTAATCTTGTTAAACAGTAAGAATTTAGTAAAGCAGTCTGTGTTAACTGGGAAACTGGGGCAGGGATCCATTTGAAAAGACCAGGTAACAGCAGGAGTTTGGGAAGACTAATGCCTGAGCTCAAGGTTCCTGTTGGAACTACTCCCTCTTCTGGTCAGGATGGCTTAGGGATTAAGAGGTCAAACCAATGGGAAAAGACACTAAAGGTCAGCCTTCTCCCAGTGCCAAGTTTTGACCTTGGAAACTAACTGCTGTCTCTGAGGAAGAGGATTAAGAGGTGAAGCTAATCATGCTCACATTACCATGTGAAACAGCTACGTGCTTTGAAAGTGATGGCATCCGCGGTGGCTGTCTGGAAGATGAGGTCCTGTTGTGAGCCTAAGAAGCCTGACTGAAATCTTGGGAAGGATCCTGGGAACTGTATTAGATCCTGGACTGAATGGTCCAAAAGCAAAGGATTCTTCAGAAGACAAAATTCAGAACTGATGGCCAGCATCAAGTGTCAAACTATAGAAGTGAAACAGATAAAATATGATCAGGAGAGAGGGTATTAGGAGAAATAGTTGAAAAAGTTAGTGCAAAGTTAAAGGGAATTACTTATCAACTTTAGGCCACTTATTTCAGTTAAAGTGAATTATTAGGGAATTTCAGGCCCTCACATGTATACAAGGTAAAAATGTAGGGTTTTAGAGGGCTTTCTAAAAATGTTTTATTTTAAAGTAACTTTAGTCTTAGAGAAAAGTTACAAAAACAGTATAGAAAGTTATTCTAACATCTTTCACCCAGCCTCTCCTAATGTTAACATTTTAAATAAACGAAGTTCAGTTATCAAAACCAGTTGTGTTAGTTTTTTAATTCGGTGCTGGCTTTGAGTTGAGAGTTGGGGACAGTTACCTTTTACCTTTGCATAGGACAGGCCAGATGAGTCAGGTGAGTCTCAATAACATGTGGGCCATCTTATTGGACCAAATGACAGGAGTGGTCTCAAGTGATATTTCCTGATGAAAACTGTACTATGAAAAGGAAAATTCTATACATTCTCTATTTCAGACTATGGAAATGAGATAAAGGAAAAGAGAGAAGAGCAAAATCATGGTCATATTACTAAGAAAATGGCAAAGAAGAAAGTTGGTGTATGGCTGTTAAAATGTGTCTTTCAACTTACAGATCGGTGGTTGGAAAATGCTAATATAGATATATTTTCTCAGGATTTTATTGAATAGACTTAATGGGTCATGAAGAACTAGGAGGAAAAGCACTGATTACTGCCATGTCTACACATTTGAACCCTGGTACTTAATACCTTTGGTGATTCCCTTCCACATACCTCTGAGCAGGCGAGGCATGGTAACTCCGTGATTAGCATTCACATGGCTGCTTTCACTGAGGACTCAGAAGGAAGTGTGTGAATTAGACTTTCCACCTGCAGGGCTGTGTATCAGAGATGACCCAGTGGAAGAATAATGGTTTAAAGAATAACCACAGTAATAGTATGAGATTCTGCTGGGATAAGAGCTATAAAAAACAGCAGAGTGACTTAAATACATTGTAGACCTCTAGACAAATGTTTGAAAATGTAGGAAATTTATTAAAACACTGATGCTGTAGTCATTACCATACATCGAAAATTTCCTACCTGGATATGTGATTGAGAAAGTTCTTTAAGGGACTTTTTCAGCAAATGTCTGGGCAAATGTCACTGGAAAATTCTCGTAAGTATGAGGGGAAGAAATACTCTTGTGTTTTCATAGGATTTTTCAGCAAGAAGAATCCATTCATTCATTTATATAACAAATATAAAACTGTGCCAAGTTCAGGTTCTGGGTGTATAGCTATGTAGTAAGATTGATAGATCTTTTATATTCTAGCTGAAGGGATAGAAAACCACAGAAGTATACCAACAACCAAGATAATTTTAGATAGTGATTAAGTGCTATGAAGAAAATAAAACAGAGTGAGGTGATGGAGGTGAACAGATGTGGAGGTACAGAGGATCTTTTATTAGGCTGTCCGGCAGGGCCTCTGCAAAAGGGATGATTTAAGACCATGGCTTTGTTACCTGGGACTGATCACAAAGACTTCAGCTGGAGGCTAGGACTGGCCTTCACTAATGTATTCCTTGGCTTTGATAAAAAGTCAGTCAGTCAAGGGTTCCTTGGAGAGCAAGCTGGCTCCAGAGTTTGGGCAGGAGAAGTATAAGCTGAGTCTACAATGTAGTGTGATACAGAAAGAATGATGAGAATATAGCAAAAGGGACAGGACTCACCTTGAAGGGTCTCCTACTGACTAATCTGGGAGGCTTTGGGCATCAGAACAAATATAATAGGAATAGATTGTAGTCTAATAAATACAGGAAGAGCCCGTGAATCCATCCATGCATATATACATGCACATATCTGTATATAAATGGAGGAGAAGGGAAAGCTCTTTTTTTTTCCATTGAAGTATTACTGATATACAATCTTACATTGGTTTCAAATGTACAACACAGTGGTTCAATAGTCACCCACATTATTAAATCCTCACCCCTTCTAGTGCAGTTACTATCAACGTAGAAAGTTGTTACAGAATCATTGACTATATTCTCCATGCTGTACTACCATCCCTGTGACCAGCTAATACTGTGATCGTGAATTATTGAGCTCCTTTATCCTCCTTACCCTCCCCCCAACCCAGCCCCAACACCTCCCCCTTGGTAACCACTAGTCACTTTTCATTGTCTATGAGTCTACTGCAGTTTTGTTCCTTCTGTTTTGCTTTTGTTAAGGGAAAGCTTTTACAGTAAAAAGCCAACTAATAAATATAGAAGGAATGATGGCATTATTAGGAACTCAATGGCTGCTAAAAGCTAGTGGGCAAAAGTTTGATAAGGAACAGAATATTTACATAATTTCAAAATATCTCCCCACAGATTACTTATTAATTATAAATGTACAATTGTAACTTTACAGTGACAATAACCTAGAGACATGAACTAATCAGGTGATCAAAGTTACATCACTAACACTAGGACAAATATCCTCACCTGCCTCCTGTTGGGAAGATCCGAGAAGTATGTAACATCACCTTAGTGGTATTCCTACCCATACTGCATAAACCAAATTTGTAGTCAAGAGAAAACATCAAAATTGATCAACATTGTACAAAATAACTGGCCTGTACTCTTCAAAGATATCAAAATTAATAAAGACTGGAGAATTGTTCCAGATGAAAGGAGATTAATGAGAAATGAAATCAATGCAATATGTCATCTTGGATGAGATCCCAAGCTGGAGGTAAAAAGAAAAACTTTAAAGGACATTACTGGGACAATAGGGGGGAAAATAGTATAAATAGATTTGATAATACTATTGTGTCAATGTTAAATTTCCTGATTATATAAAAATAACTTCTTTGTACTTAGGAAGTACCAAAGTGTTTAGAGTGTAAGGTAGCATGATGTCTCCAGCATACTCCCCAATGTTTCAAAAGAAGTATATATACAACACCCGGAGTGGTAGAGCGAATGTGATGTATGCTAACAGTGGATCCAGGTAAATGGTATAAGGGAGTTCCTTGTACTATTATTTTAATTTTCTTGTAAGTATGAAAATATATCAACATGAAAAGTTACCAAAAACCAACTAACTAACCAACCAAACACATCCAAAACTTCGGTTGGTTAGGCTCCTTCAGCTGGTGGTATGACTGAAGTCATCATTCCTGAAGGACTCTGACCTTTGTAGGACAGCAGTGGAGGGTGGAACCAAACTGTGACCTCCAGGACGTGGTTATATCAGAGGCCAAGTTCCAAGCATAATCCTTTCTGCCCTTCAAGTGCAGCAGAAAACTTTATTTATCCTTTGTAATCAGTGCTTATCAGTCTAGCCAAAACCATAATCTTTCTTTTTGCCTGCTTTCCCAGCGGCCTAAAGTATCCAGAATCACGGGTATTTTTCTCAGTGGAATCGTTTTTGTATGTCCCAGCAGGAATAAAAATTTATCACACAATGTTCTTTAACAGCAATGAATGGAAATTGATTCTGGCTGATTTATGCAGAATTTGTTAAAAGGTACTAGAGCTGACTTTTAGTTTGGGTAACAATGGACTGGGCAATTCAGACCAACCTTCATGCTTAAAATAATTAAGAAATCTGGATGAAATATAAAGTCCTTCCTAACAGCATCAAAGAACTACTAAGATAGTGAGGAATTACTAAGGCAGGACACCAAAGAATTGGAAACCCAGAGATTTTTTATCTGGGAAAAACAACTGATAGGTTGATCAACACTTCTGATAATCTGATTGGGCTAAGGCAGGAATCTGAAAACTTTTTCTTAGAAGTCAAGATAGTAAATACATTAGGGTTACAGGCCATATAGTCTGTGGCTCTCTGTCATAACTAATTCTGCCATTGCAGTGCAAAAGCAGTGATAGAGATATTTGAACACCCAAGTTCATAGCAGCACTATTCTTAATAGCCAAGAGATGGAAGCAACCCAAGTATCCATTGGCAGATAAATGGTGAAAAAAATGTGGTATACACACCCAATGGAATATTATTCAAGCTTTAAAAAAGAAGGATCTGTCACATACTACATCACAGGTGAACCTTGAAAATATTATGCTAAGTGAAATAAGCCAGTCACAAAAAGGTAACAACTGTATGATTCCACTTACACAATATCACAAAGTAGATATCTAAAGTAGGCAAATTTACAGAAATAAAAAAATAGAATGGTGACTACCAGTGATTGGAGGGGGCGTGGCAAAGGTAAGTTGGTATTTAATGGGTATAGTTTCAGACTTGTAAGATGAAAAAGTTCTGGAGATCTGTTTCACAACAATGTGAATATACTTAATACTACTAAACACTTAAAAATGGTTAACATGATAAATTTTATGTTGTATGTTTTTTATATGCAATAAAGAAATATATGCAACAATGTCAAAAAAGAGTATCAATGAGGTTGTTTAATGTTAGTGATCAGGATCTTAGGTAAGAAACAAAGCTTTGAGAATCAAAACATTCACAAAAGTTTTTTTAAGCAATCATAGAAAATAGATAAACAAATAACTGTGGCTGTGTTGCAGTAAAACTTTATGTACAAAAACAGGAAGCCAGCCTGTGAGCCATGGTATGCTGAATACTGGGCTGGGGGTCAAAAGTCCAAAGGAGTTGGTTATGAGGCCCTTGAAGTCACTCAAGCATAACTATGACCTTGTTTGCATATCCAGGCAATGACAATTACACTGTGGTCACTGCCTGGCCAGTAATTTATTTTAAAAGGCTTTTAGTTGTAACATATATCCTGATTTCAGAAATATTAAAATATGAGGAAACAAGGTGAACTTTAAAATCAAAGAAATTTGGCAAATAAAATTCTACATGCAAGGACACCATAGCTAAGTTGCAGAAAACCAAAAACTAAGCCAAAACAAAAAATTTTTAAATAGGAACTGGATGGGGATACTGGAATTATCTTCAAAAGAGTAAGAGTTCAAGTGACAGCTGACTTCTTAAAATAACAGTGGAAACCAGAAGACATTAAATATACTGAAAGAAAGTTAATGTCAACTAGGAACTCCATATGTAGCAAAAATTATGTAAGACTGAAGGTAAAATACATTTTCAAAACAGCCACACAAGATAATCAATATGAGCATAGCCACACTAAAGGAAATGCTAGAATATTTTTCTGGGGGAAGGAAATGATCCCAGATAGAAGCTTGGAGATAGTGGAAGGTGTAAAAATGGCAAAATGAGCAAATCATAGTAATCAAACTAAAGCATAAAAATTGGGAAGAGGCAAATAGAGTCAATATTCAAAGTTAAGTAGAGTTATAGCATCCTAATGTTAATTATTGTTTAGCATTGTCTGTGAGGAAGGTAAAAGTACCAATTAATACTAAATTTTGAGATGTCAAGAATGTATGTTATATTTTATAAGGTAAGCACTAGAAGATTAATGAAAGAATATATAACCCCAAACTATTGGAGCACAAAAGAAAAGTGTAGTAATAAAAATAATTTTAAAAAGTCACACAAGAAGAGAAAAGGGAACAAGGGTGGGAAAATTTAAGACATAGAATGAAATGGCAAATTAAGTCCAAACATATTAGTTACTACATTCATTGTAAATGAACTAAATGTTCCAGTTAAATTGTCTGATAAGATTAAAAAAGGAAAAAAAGATATATTGCTCGCAATAGACACATCAGAAATATAATACCAAAAAGTTGGAAGAAAATTATGGAAAAGATGTACCATGTAAGCACAGAAGGAAACTGTCCTTGACCCACACAAAAATTACTAATGAAAAGGAGAGTTATTTCATAAAAGGTTTAATTCACTATAAAGATATAACTTTTCTCATTTGTATGTGACTAATAACATAGCCTCAAAACATATAAAGCAAAAATTGACAGAATGAGAGGAAAATAGCCACATTTACATAATAGATTTTCAACATATTCTTTTAATTGATAAAATAAGTAGAAAAAAATCAATATGACTACATAAGACTTAAAAAACACACTGAACAGATTTTACTTGCTCTCCATAAAAAGAGCACTGTAACTAAAAATCTTTGTGTTAAGAACACTTAAAACATTTACAATAATTGTCAGAAACCTCCAACACGGTTGGTGGGAATGTAAATTGGTGCAACTGTTTTGAAAAACAGTATGGAGTTTCCTCAAAAAACTAAAAATAGATATATCATTCAATCCAGTAATTCTACTTCTAAGAATTTACCCAAAGAAAACAAAATCCCTGATTCAAAAAGACATATACACCCCTATGTTTGTCACCACACTATTTACAAAAGCCAAGATATGGAAGCAACCTAAGTGTCCATCAATAAATGAATGGATAAAGAAGAGGTGGTACATATATACAATGGAATATTTATTCAGCCATAAAAAGAAAAACTTTCCCATTTGCAACAACATGGATGGATCTAGAAGGTATTATGCTTAGTGAAATATGCCAGGAGTAGAAAGACAAATACCATATGATTTCACTTATTTGTGGAGTATAAAAACAAAGCAAAATAGAAGGAACAAAATAGCAGTAGACTCACAGACACTGAGAAGTGACTAGTAGAAAAAAATTACCAAGCGAGAGGGTTGGAAGTATGGGAGAGGAGGGTGAGGGGGATGAAGGGGCACAATAATTCTCAATCATAGTGTAAGTTGGTTAGGGGGATGGTAGTACAACATGG